AATAATGTTTTCTCCCTTGCCAAGAAAAGAAAAAACTAGCTCAACCATGGGAATTTCAATTCCTCAATTTGTGGAATTAAGGGTCACCTGAGGCCAAGTGAGAAAAGGAACTGACAAGAAAATTTTTCTTATCAAACAAGCTAAAAAGTAGAAAATGTGGGATAATTTCCATCTTCCATGGAAAATTTTGGCCTATCAAACAGTGCCTAAATATAATCACCATACAAATCTGTCAAGTGCAGATACAGCTCCAAAGTACAAGAACAATTTCCTTGCTAAAACATAAATAAGCATACCGCATATATATAACTAGAAACCACGAATTGGCACATATTGCAACTTGTAGAAGCTATCCCTAGCAAAATTATTGGGAATTGTTCCATAATCCCAATTATATGAAAACCAAAAATTGCAAAACAAAAAACACCAAAGCATACAGTTTCAAGAAACAAAACATATGTTACAAAAACCACAATAAATGAAACAACTAACAACATTTCACTGTGATCTACAAACCCAACTCAATTCTTGTTCAAAAGTATATGCAACGGCACACACACACACAGAGGGCTTACAGTGCTTCGGCGGCGCTCCGCAGCAATCGCAAAGCCAAATGCCGTTAAGCTCAAGACTATGACAATTAAATGAACTAGTGTCGACCCTTTTCCTTCCCCCATATCTACTTCACTTTACTCTTCGAGAGTGTGTGTGCGCGTGAACAGAGAGAGTAGTAGGGTGAGATGTGTGAACTTTTTCTTTGCGTTGCTGCTGTGTTTTTTTTTTTTTGCAAAAAGTGGGAAAAGAAAATTAAAATCAAATCAAAAGCATCGAGGCGGTGAAAGTTGTCGGAATCTGTGGCCCATGTGACTTACAGTGGAGAATTACAAGCCAAGGTCAAGAGATGTCAAATTTAATGTATATGTTAATGTACATATAACACGTGATTGTTCTTAATTTCATACATTTTAGTCCTTTTTGTCTATGCTATAAAACTGTAAAAAGAAAAATCTACAGTAAAATATCGATAAATTAATAATTTCGCTTAAATAATAAAATAGGCCAGTCTACTAAATTAATAAGAAAAAAATTCATATATAAGATCTACCCTACATACCATTTCAAAAATAAGAAAACATTTTAAAATTTCTAAAATCAGATATTTTAACATATACATATACATATACATACACATGTATTTATATATTATATATATAACCCACCCCACCTCCACCACCTTTACCGTTTTGGCGATTACTTCGATTCTGGCGATTATTCCGGCGAACGTTCCGACGACTTCTCCGATTCCAGCGATTATTCCGGTGACTTCTCCACATGTGACCTTTTAA